GTGGGAGGAAGCTGCGCTCGTGGAGCTGAACCTCTGTGGCACAAGGCATTCCAGGCAGAGCGGCTTTTATCCTCATGGCCCTGGCGTCTCCCCTGCCTGACGCAGCAGCAGAGCTCAAGGGCAGCCTCTCCCCAGGCCGCTTGTCCTGCTTGGGACCTGCCTCGACGGGGGTGCCCCTCCAGCCTTGGGCAGGCCCCGTTCCCCATCCAGAGGCTGCAGTTCCCTGGTAATCGGCACCTTCTACGTGTTCTTGCCTCCCAGGTGCTCATTGAAAAGACAGAAACAAACGTTGCACAATAAAATGAGCAACAAAAGCGTTTTACTGGGAGACACAGTCCAGGGTGCTCGGAGCTGTTGGCAGTGCAGGCCGGGGAGCAGATGAGGGCTGGGGATTTCTCACTGAAGGTCAGGAAGGTGCCAGCGGCGGCGTCTCCAGCCCTGCTCCCCGGACACCCCAGCACAGCAGGCGGTCTGGGCTGCCTGGAAAGCTACGCATCTTTCCAGCATTGCTTTATGCTGGAAACAGGCTGCAAACTTGGCTGCACATGGGCAATTGGTTATGGCCTCRTGACATGCTGAGGCTCTGTGTGTTCCTCSTGCAGGTCACARCTGCTGCCTTGCTTGGGTTGGCCAWAGGAGGAGCCTAAACGACCATCAAGGCCTAGACTCCTGCCTTTACTTTACGTAGGTGACAGAGCCAGCCAAGGGGGTGTCAGTATCAGTGCAGGGGGAGGACAGGGCCTACACAGTCTTTATGTTAGACCAAGGGCAAGTCAGCAGGTCCRTGGTTCCTCAGGTCAGGTGTCTCTGCTCCTCTCCACAGGCTCTAAGAGACTGTAATTGGAAGGACAAGGTCGAGATAGTCTGGAAAAGGGAGACTGCACTTCCCAGACTTGCCAYCCTTAGCCAGGGCAGATAGGTCTGCCCCAAAGCTCCTCAGAGTTCAACTCTTCTGATGACCTCTCCCAAAGAAGCATATGTGGTGGGTCCAGGCCAAGAGAATTCTGTCATCGCTTGCTCAGTAAGGTAGACCAGCCTCCATTTTCCCCTTTGCTTAAGAGTACTTCAGACTAGGAGTAATTCAGACAAACAYGACCTCCCCCTTGCCAAGGGCTCCCCAGTGCTTCCCACCAAGGCTGTTCTACTTTGCAGGGATGATTAAACATGCAGTCATGAGGGGGAAACAGAGAAAGGAAGGGAGAAAATGTGTGAGCCTTTGGATTAAGGAACTGAGACAATGGGAGACTGAAACGCTATTACATGTACTACAGATTAATTTTTCATGCTTTTTATTCATCACAAAAATCCACTGAATTGTGCTTTCCATGCTACAAAACCACTGCCATCTTCTTTTGGCKGTGAGTTTAAACTCTGGGGTAAGCAAAGGGAGAGGGAGGGAAAACGATGACCTTGCATCAATTTTGATGATGAAAATCTGGCATTAACAAATGGATTTCAGGGACCTGCAGTCTACTGGCACTAACATTGGCCCCATTTTCTGCCTTCGTTTTTCAGATGCTGCTCCCAGCCTGCGTGCTGTGAGCCCCCGAGCAGTGTCACAGTGCAGCTCCATGGCACCCCAGGCACTGGGGCCACTTCTGCCACCRACAGGCACTACTTAAAAATGTGAAAACTAAAGTCATGGTGATTTTTTCAGTGTCTTCTTCAGTTTACTTAGTAGCATGAATTTCTATTTTCTTCTTTTCAGAAGGTTTCCTGGGCTCAGAAACAGGTAGTTAATTCACAGTTCAGAGTCATACACATACACCACACCACTGGAAATATTATCTCATACATAGGAATATTTATTTCTTTCCTTCTTAAAAATGTACAAAAAATAAAATAACTGTATTTACAGTTTATCAAATCCCTCTCCCAGTTAAACACTATTAAGTTACATGAGCTATTTTCTTAATATAAAAGCACACTATTTATACATAAAGCTTCCTCGTTTGCCAGAGAGAGGGCCTGTCACAAACTTTGGCACAAACACTCTTGTTTGCATCTTGTCTCCATTTATAGGAAATGGAAGAAACATTTCATAGGCTTTACATTTTCAAAGTCATAAGATATTCTCTTCCAGTTCCATAAAAGTCAATATACAGCACCTCTGACAGCTGGAGARTATAGTTTTTACTACTTGTTTGAATTAATTTACAACATTTAAAAAATCCATAGCCTGAAAGAGGAAAATACACAGGAAGGATACTTGATCTCTGACTTCCACTGACCAAACATGTCGTAAGAAACGACACATATTAAAAATAATAAATTTCTCTGTAGTTAATATTCAGTGGTAAAAAAATCTCTGCAATTTCTTCATAGGCATTTCATCATACACGAATAAAATTGCACTGCAGGGATGCACTTTGGGGAGTTATAAGCATCTGACTATATTGAAGGAAACTCAAAATAGAGTTTTTTTCTGAGATTTTTCATTTCCATAATAAAACATCAAATGGACGGACGTGAAGCCAAATCTGTGGCAGGAACCAGTATGACTACCCTGTCATTTGCACAGCAGCTTCTGTCAGAGTCTTTCAAAATGAACGCAGCAGCTCCAGCCACTGCTGGGCCCTAGTTCTGCCCAAGGAAAGAGCTGAGCAGCAGCCACCTTTCAGGCAGCCTCAGGGAAGATTCAGCCCTTAAARGAGGGTCTTGAAGGAGGAAAGGGAGTGAGAGCTTTGTTCTTTGAAATAAACACCCACAACTGTGCCCCAGAAAGACCAAAGAAGGCCACACAGACACTTCTGAACCTTAGCCCAGTCTCTCTTGCATTTAACTCGCACTACTTGGAAGACAGAGTGTTCATCCATTTTTACCATGAAGCAAAAGCAACATGTATATTTTAAACAATATACATACAAATATTTTGTACTACTCGCAGCCTTTGAATCAAGCAAGGTCACCATTATAGAAGTCTGAATCTCTGCTATTGGCCCTTCCCCATCACTCTGAAATCCTATTTTTGAGGAGCAGGACATGACAGGTGGAGCCCGTGCAGCTTGTCCCCACCAGCAGGCAAGGCTCGGAGCTGCTCCTGCCCCAGAAGGGTGCAGGGAGTTGTGCTCTTCACACAAGTTAGATGCTTCTGGGACCATCCTCTGGTACAGACGTGGTCCTGGCATAGAACATGGGGCCAAGGTCTTCTCAGTGGTGGCCAATGATAGGACAAGGGGTAATGGATACAAGTTGAAACACAGGCAGTCCCACCTCCATATGAGGAAGAACTTCTTGCCTGTGAGGGTGACAGAGCCCTGGCACAGGCTGCCCAGGGAGGCTGTGGAGTCTCCTTCTCTGGAGGTCTCCAAACCCGCCTGGATGCCGCCCCGTGCCCCGTGCTCTGGGTGTCCCTGATGGAGCAGGGAATTCGACTAGATGATCTCTAGAGGTGCCTTCCAGCCCCAACCATCCTGTGATTCTGTGAAATCAAGTTCAGAGAAACCATCCCTAACTAGCCTAGCTACCTGTTGTTTTAAAATRCTCTTCCCATCAGGGCAAATCCTACTCATCGTTCTCAACTCTTCAGTCTTGCTACCTTCAGGAAGACTGCAAGAACAAATCAAAACAAATGCACTCCAGAGAGTGCATTTAGAAAGGCTATCAGTTCATCTGGGAAGCGATGTCCCTTCCCTGGCCACAGCCTGACCAACAGCTCCTGAAATGGCATTAGGTAGATGGCTCTTCAAGCCCAGCAGTATTCCCGGGAGTGCTGCCATGTCTCACTGATGCTTTTCCACTCCTTGGCACAGAGTGCTGCAGGAAAGCAGGCCGCCCTCAGCAACCCGCAGGTACGAGCTCATGTTAGAGCAGCCKCTCCTTGGGTAAGAGATGGATAATATTATCCTGTGAATCTCAAACGCTACCCAGATGCTCAGAACTCTCTTTCTGCAGCCCATCCCAACCCAGGGCCATCCCAGGCACCACCACATTCCAAGGAGGAGAGCTCAGATGACRGGCTTGTTAGGAGCAGAACCAGGGCTTGACTCTGCCTACATTTACTCACTCARCTTGCTGCTTCTTCCAGGACACCAGGACCAAGCGAGAGATTCCAGTTAAAATTCTTAGGATCCCAAACACTGCCTTCAACAGAGATRCACAGGAACTAACACCACTGCTCACAGGCCTTGTCTGTTGGAGCTCTTAATGCCCTCTGTCAAACCTGTACTCTACAGGTTTTTTAAGGAAAAAAATATCTGGTCTAAGCATAAAGTTTCTTTCCAAGCCTGATCCAAGTAGAAACAAATTTAATCATGTTTTGTTCCCAGGATGTTTGTTCTTAAGAGGAGTGACAAAGGCATCTTTGCTGGAGTGTGTACTTGTGAAAAGAAAATGGAATTGCCACTTCAGTGTTACTCACAGAGGAGAAAAAGGGAAGACAGCAAAGGAAGAGGGAAGGGGAGACAGACACTCTGCTTTGCAGACAGACACGTGTGGATTCTGGAAATGTTCGTCCTGACTTGAATGGCCTGGACCTTTCACAGATGCTGGTCCCATAGAAGCATTACTGTTCAAAGTACACATTTCAGTGGGATGATATTGCTAAGGAAATGAAGAAAGCGAGCAATAATTTGCAGGACAATTCATGAAAAACAGCACTGAATCAGACTGGTTATCTATTACCACTGCTTTGCTTGGGTGTAAATAGTTGCACACAGCTCAAAGCACTAGCATGAGCCCTATTAAAGCAGGCGGGGTTTCTTTAAGAYGTTAACTAGTCAGTGCAAAAGATACTGTTTTACTGTGCAAAAGACTACATGGAGAAAWGATTTCAGAAGGAAAGAAAAAAAAGAAACTTTTAAGAGCTGCATGTACAAAAGGACTCACATTTCTGTCTGCCTCACAGGATCCAAACAGTGCATGGGAGAAGGAAACACTTGCAACTGGAACTCATGGGAGTGTAAGTTGAGTGAGGAGCTTTCTAGGATAGCCACAGGTGCTGGAAAGGTGAGAGGTGMCAGGCTTGGATGTGCTGGGGACACTCCGCCTTGAATGCTCTGTTTTGGATATGATGAGCCTGAAACTTTCTTTTTCACAAAATTCATGAGGCAGAGGTGGAAGCCGGACCTGGGATGAGATCCACCCTTTGTGAAAGAGGTCTGTCTCCACACCTCAGCTGTGGGCTGCTCTTAAACAGCACTAGTGAAATAGTTCCAATTCCTATAAAGTATCTACATCAAGGTCGGGTTTCTACCTCATCCAACTGTCCTAGGAATTAAAACAGAATCTTCCACTGGAGATACAAGAGTTTGTTCCCTTAAGAAGAAGAGGAAGAATCTGAAGTCCCACTTCCTACAGTCTACAGGAATGCCTTAATGAGCCGGCTGTGGGGAAAAACACTTCTCCCTCCATTGGCTTTAGAAAGGCCCACCCTGATGGCCCTTGCTGGCCAACAAAGCAGACAGGAGCCCCTTCCAGAGCTCCAGACGTGCCAGGCAGCAGATAAATGGGGCACGGGGGTTGGTGACAGCTCAATGGGGCACTCAAATATCTACAGCTGGGACTCAGGCACCTAAGATGGATCTCCTTGTGACAGGGCACTCTGGTCCCTGCAGCAACGGTTTGCTCCAGTATTTCAGTACAAAACCAGGTGGGTAGGGATGGAGTGTATGAGTGAAGGTGGAAWTACCGGCTTCTCAGCACACACTCCTTAACAGACTGCAGAAATCTAAYCCTCTAGGAAAGATTCTGTTAAACCCTACACCCCAAACATATAAAAACACAGTGGCAGTAAATATGCCCACATACAGTAGTTAAAATATATTATTGCATATTATAAACATTATATACAAGGTTAAAATGGATTCTTTACCATTTACTTACAAATGACATTTTTAACTGAATGCCTTACTTACAAGTCCTCATTGCTACATGCTGAGAACTACCAGAGGTATTTGGCAAGACTATACACTACGGAGAGATATGGAGCAGTCTGAGCAAGGGAATTGCCAGCCACCTTCCCCATCYTTAGCACTACACCATTTTTTTTCACTACAGTGGAGAGGACTGCTGTTAAAGTGATTTATACCAGATTTCTGAAATTGGACCAGCGTGGTGCYTTAACATGTTCTAGAATGAGCTTATCCACATGAAAGCAGGGATAAAAATGCTGCATTTCACATTTCCAGTGGATCATCTGCTTACAAATCTGGGGGCTGGGAACTGCTTGTACACTAGAGAGTAAGGAACAATAAATAAGGGTCCAGGTTACCGTGAGTGGCCTTGTGCTTGACAAACCCAAGTCTGTATGCAATGGGCATGCACGTGCAGAATGGATTATGTTTYCCAAGCAGTCTTGTAACAGTTTCTCTGATCAATGTCTGTCAAGTTCCTGGTGAATCTCCTGCTTTCCAGTAAGGATGAAATGCGGTGGTTCCTTACAGAAGGGCTCTGCCCAAGGTTAGATCTCAGTCAGCGTGATCTTGAAGCCTTCGACCATGCTCTCCATGTGCAGGATGAATGTGTCCTCATTGGAGTAGTGCTCAATAATGTTGTCATCCATGTTTACCAGAATRCTGGTGACAAAGGCAAAAAATCAGTATCTTTACATACCCAGGCGGTGAAAGGCAAAGCCACACACCCCACTGCACGTGCTCACTTCACTGACTAAAAGCAATGGAAGAAGATTCCAGCACATGTCAGAACAGGGACAGAAAATTACCAAGATCTGCAGCATTGCCCCTTACAGAGGCCACTACCTGCTGAAGTAGTTAAAGAGAAATGTCACAGCTGGGACTTTCAGGTGCTTCATGACCTGCCTAGGAGGGGAGCTGCCCTGTAGCTCTCTGGCAGACCCTTATAAGGGACCTTGTACATGAGCCTCCCTCTCCTCCTGCTCGGCGATGTGAGTCAGTCGTTTATGTCATTTATGCCTTGCACACTCATTGCAGGCCTCAGAACTCACCTTATATGTGAGAATACTGACATAACATTTCCTATCTTATTTACTTAGAGGGCATGTAAGTGTTTTGTACTCTCTTTACCATAAAGAGCTTCTTGAAACCACTGACAGAAAGAAGCAGCACTTAGAAAATTTCACCTTTCTTTTCAAAACTTAATAAAAACCTAGACAAAAATACAAAATTTAAAAAAGCTGCCCTAAGCTGGAGTTGTGGCTGATGGATTTTAAATGGTATTGCTAGAATACTGTGGTTATTTAGAAGCACAAAAAAATAAAAGGAGAGGTTCACATTTATGGCAGGGTTTATGACCCAGCTATTCTAAACCTGCATCTGTGATTCTCCCATCTAAATTAACTCAGGCACTCCCACCTTTCAGGTCTGGGCAGTRGCTGACCACCTCCTAGCCTTGCAGGGAACCCCACAGGGAATTTGCAGTAAAGGCTGGGCCTCTCCCATGCTACAGCCTGCAGTGTTATTTGGCCTAGAGTCTACAGAACTGGTGTTATTCACATTTATTTTTCAAACAYAAATTCTGTCCCTTCACAGTAAGTGTATGAATATGAATACTGGTCACACRCAGAGTAAAAGTTGATGTTCCCTCCTCTGCCACCTCTGTCTCCACATACACTAAGACTCTTAAGAGTATGGGTTTTATAAAATCAAGCAAAATGATGCTGTAAGCGTCACTGGGATCTCTGGATTCTTCTGCAGGATGCAGCGTTCGTTCTGCTGAGTTCATTTACTTACCCCTTTTTGCTCTTCTTGTAAAGTTTTGCAATCTTTTCGACTGGCAGCCCGTATTTCTCAGAGATCTGAAATCACCAGAACGAGAAAATGACATTAAAGACTAACGAGGAACAGGACRTAACCACATCTCTCCAAAATTGGAGACTAGTTTCCATAGGGTATGAGTCACCAAAAAGAATAAAGCATAAAATGCAAGAAAACCACTGAAGGACGACTCCTTAGGTGATAAATTATCAAGAACAATAAGTACTTCATTGGGCTGTCTTGGCACAGCTTTGCAGTAGYGTGTTATTAACTTGTCTGGACGGCCACTCTGCAGTAAGCCTGTGTATTGTTCATGCAGATGGTGTCCTTGAGTCCTCAGTCTGAGTCCAGATTCTTTTCCATATTTTGTCTCTTCTTTAAGGGAACAGTTCTCATGGCTCTTTTTTTTTTTTTTAAAGAATAGAATTGTCCCAAAAGGCAAAATAATTATGAGCAAGGGACTTTCTGTCAGTGATCAAAGCTCTGCAGTATTCTACTGTCAACCAAAGAAAGCTTCCTGCTCTTCCCCAGTGAAATGAAGTTGCAGCTAAATAGCTGATTCTTGTCTTCTGCATTAGCCAACTGCAATGCACCATTAAAAATCCACTTAAAGACTGCCAAACATCACTCACTGTGAAACTGTGAAATCTTTTTTTTTTTYTGATGTTCAGACTGCCTGTGAGAAAAAACATTTTAGCAGGGTTAACTAGACCAATTCTCATGAAATGAAGAACGAAAAGAAACTAATAGATAAAACTCAGCACCAAGGACAGATTCAGATAGCCAGTATGCCCAGCAAGACTTCAATCCTGACAGAGCCAGGATTCTCCAAGAGACAGAGTTAATTAGCTACATTTTGCCTATACATACATAACCGACATCTTTCCTAACACACAATTTTGTATTTAAAAAGCACAGTGCAAATTCAGGGTTTTGAAGAACCAATAAAACCTTTTCACTGACAACAGGTTCCTCTGACCATAATGTACATCTGTGGCTACAAACTGAAAGGAAAGGATATATTTAAGGAGTAACTGATAAGATACACTAGATTTACCCACTCTTTACATTTTATACCTCATAGTGAACAACATGCAGAACAAGTTAAGTTTTGTAAATATTATTTGTTACTTCAATTTTACTCACGCTAGCACATTTCACTGCCCCCCTGGCTAAGGTGCTGGAGATCCTGATTCTAGTCCTGGTTCTATCTCTTCATGCATTTTGGAGGAGGCCTAATTCGGGYTGCAGGAGCTCCCTAGCAGCCCTGTCACACACTCCCTTCTGCAGGGAGCATTCTGCTTCACACCTTTAGGAACACATTGGCTTCACCCTGCTTGCCTGCTGTCTCACACGGGTGTCCTTGTTRCTATCAGCCTACAACCCCAGTCTTTCTCCCTGTACACACCGGGTGGAAACACTTCCCCAGGGAAGACACCCACCCTACACCCTCAACATGTGCTCACATGGCACAGGAGCTCGAATCCTTGCTCCAAATAAGGCACACACATGTCCCAGTGCTGGGTGTCCTGGCCACTCCGCTTTTCCACAGACAGGACAGGTTGCCCCATCTGCCTTTCATGAACAACTGACCCAGCCCATGCCTGCAGAAACAAAGGAGGATCCGTGGGGCAGGATCCCTGGAAAAAGCCATCACCCACCTCTGACCAGATGCACTTCTGGAGGTACYTTGCCTCTCACTCTTCATTTTACTCTTGGCTTCTCCTTGGCCATATTTCCAAGGCTGCCTTCCTCCGTTGCCTCATTTTGTGCTGCCCATGGAGGGTGGCTCCATATCTTGAGGCCTATGAGTCCTCTAGGGTACYCAGACCTATGGGTCAGSSTCTGTCTCAGAATAAATCCTGACTSTCTCAGAGAAGTTCTCAGARCAGTTTCCACATCATGCTTTTCTTCCTTCTGAAGCTTTGTTTAGCACAGTCTAGCTGGATAGAATATCAGAGAAGCAATCTGATGCTGAACACGGCTTTGATGTAACCCCAAGTTTAACCTTTAATTAAAAGGATAATGCACGTCTCCCTTTTRTCACAGTTGAAGAAAAGCCTTCTTTAGGAGTCAGAGGCAAAGTGCAACTTGAAACTGCAGACCACATCACAACAACCATGTGAACACGAGGGAATGCTCAAGCTCTCTCTCTAGGCTGTTAACTCTGAAGCCTAGCGATACGCTAAAGATTATGTCTAAAGAAGGACACTTTTCCCTGATTCCATGCAAATAAACAAGCAAGAAGAAACCTTCTTGTGCCAAGGYTGTTTCACAGCAGCTAATATCCAGCATTCTGCACATTCCGACTAAAACTTTCCTAGGATATTTGGGATACCTAACAAACACTCCTAACAAATGTTCCCTCAGAGTGATTTGGGACTTTGGGACACCACGTTCTATGAAAGCTACCAGAGGTAGCGCTGGGAAGGCCCTGCCTGTCACCCTGCTTCTGACAGGTGCGGGGCTTATATAGCACGTAGGGATTAGTGAGCTTTGGGAAAGACTTCCAACTGTCGGCATCAGCACATTTCTCAGGGACCCCTATGGATTCAAGCAATTATACTAAACATTGAGCTGTGGAAGCAGGGCTCAAAGCAGGCAGATGGAATAGCCTCCCACTCACAGGGCTCGGAAAACAAGTCTCCAGTGCAAATGTGCTAAGTCCTGTTGTAGAATCTGGGAAAGCAGAGTTAGCATCTGCTAGGACATCTCAATTAACACCCTCCTCTCAAGCAGGCTTGTTGCCCACTCAGAAGAAAAACTGCGACTGCCAAACCACTGTAGAAAACATCTTCTCATCTGGCCCCAGGGAGACTACAATTCAGTAGGAAAAAAAAAATTGGAATCATTTCCTCCCTCACCTTCATTTTCCTCTTTCCATTTTCTGAGCAGAAACTCTACCCTTCCCTTGGGTGGCCAAAGAAGTGAGAGCCTTCAGGGTGGCACTGAAACAAGCCAGGTGTCCCTCTGGGCTGCAGGCCRCTGGCATGGCAAGCCTGCCTTGTAGCACACAGCTGGCTGCAGAGGCCACCAGAAAAGACATCCCCTGTTGGGGTCGGGGCAATGGAAAGGACGATATCTGGGCTGGCTGAGGCATGCAGGAATATATTTGCCAGCTCATTTCTATGGAATACTGGTGTGCTGGAATACCTTTATAGACAGGACACATACACAGAAAGATAAAAAACTGTAGTCTGCAGAGGCTCTGCTGAACTCACCTGTTACTTTCTAACTGTAGAAAGATGTTGGGAGATGCTTGTATTCCCAAAGGAGATTGCCCTCTGCAACTTGAATATATATTTTATTCTGCACAGTACAGAACTGGCAAAGCAACTGAGATCCACAGATTTAACTTACATTTGGCTCAGTCTGAGAGCAGGATTTGGAGCTGGTCAGTTTGGTCATAGTTTATGATGTTTTGTGATGGTTTCAATATTTTTTGTTGAGCAAGGTTGTTGTCTTAAGGAACAAACATATGCCTCATTTTTGAGATTCACTCTATCCCCGAAACCTGAGACTTTCAGATATTTTTCAGAAGAAAAGAGATCTAAGAAGAAATCTGATTGTTCTTTTAGAAAGTGAGTGTGCAAAAAGAATAAAATAAGCAAAACATCTGAGAAAACAATGTCATATTCACAGAAAATCACAAAAAAGCCAAAGGAGTCAGGAAATGTGATAAACAAAAATGTGGATAATTCACGAACAGAGAAGCAGGATATGATTCAGGGTCATTGTCCTTTACACCTGGTGCTATATGATGTTCTAAACTTCAGTTTCTAAGATCTTAGCATTCAATATAGAACTCAAGAGTTTAAAATGTGTACAATTACAAAACTATATGATATGCTGAAAAAAATGTAGACAGAATACTTACAGTATGCATTTTGACAGTTTTTTTGCATTGATTTATTCACTACATCCTACCAAACAGAATTCAAATTTTTCTGAATGTGTTCTTTTCAGTGATCCGGGACATTTCACAACAGATCAGATTTCTCTGGTGCTGAAAACACGGCCCTGAGTCAGCAGCTGTGCTGACAGGGCTATGCAGCAACCTCTCCTGTCTGCACCAGCTTTCTTAGGCTTTTGTATTACATAGTGGTCGGAAAACAGGCAAGGAGATACACAAAATACTGAAGGTAAAATATTTCTATCATACAGCTACAGAAGGATAATGATATACTTTTAATTGCTCTACAAACACAAAATCAAGTCATGTTAAATTTTTATCATGAATCAGACTGCAGCCTCTTCAAGCAAAACCTGTTTTGCTTGGAAGCTTGAAGGCTTGCTTTGCAAAACCTTCTACTGTTTTACTGCTGCTGTTTAACTTTTTTATGTTCTGCCTCCCCAACAGGGCCCTGGCCACAATTAACAAACACAATACTGGCAGAGCACAGTTCAGACAATAGTATACTGCAGCTGAGTGCCCTCAGAGAACAATGATCTGAACAGGTCCTCTAAACAGCCTCACTAATCAGAAGTCTTTTGCCTTCTGCTATTGACCAAATAAAGGTAACTCAGTCATTACTGCTTTCTAAGTGTTCGGTACATGCAACCAGACATTATAATAATTTTATGGGAGCATAAATATATTATTTTTAGCACTCAACTGAGCTCTGTAGAGACATCCTCATCCATCATTTTCTCCTACATAGAGCCAAGGCTGGAATTCAGCTCAGCTTCCCACACATCAGTCTCATATTTGTCCYCCACCAAAGCAGTGAGACACATGACTCGTTCTTCACCGTTCCTGAATCAGCCTTCACATCCTACTAGCCCTCAGCTCACATAAAAGAGGATTAAATTTGAAATATCCCCTTGTGATCATAGTTAATGGACAACAAGCAGAAAATGTGTCGCAGGAGCAGGCTCTCCCCTGGGAGGAGAGGTCCTTGTCAAAAACAGCAAGGGACTGGCTGCTAGGCATTACTGGAGACAAATCAGCTGGCTCTGAATCGCTGCTGCAAAAAGAGACATTTCTGAAAACAGAGTCTGATTCCCCCCAGTCTCTGACACTGGTTAATTACTGCCATTCCTCAAGGCTCAGCTCTGCAAGTCTATTTTATCTCAGCAACTTACTGACAGGACTGGATCCAGAACATGCCAGCATTTCAGACAGAGGCATGCTCTAGAAAACCTTGATAAAATACTTCAAATATATTTAAGAGTAAGTTCATCTCTATATAAGGTTCTATCTCAGTAATATRTTGAAAAATAAGGATTGAAAAATAAGGATTTGCTTACAGTTACAGATAAACAATGTGAGGACAACGAGCACTTACCGCTTCCATTAGCCCCTTTACTGTGGGTGATTTCAGCATCAAAGCATCAAACACCTCATCCGTCTCCTTCCTCACGTACAAAAGCACTGAAACAGAGAAGAGCCAAACTTGGAGCAGGTTCGGCCAACTGAACAGACCAAACACCCTGCACTCAGTAGAAAGACAAACACCAATCTATGACAGACAAAATGAGGTGCTGAAGATAGTTTTCACCATTAAAAAAGAAGTAATTGCATGTCATCAGCAAATCTAAACAGGGAAGACACATCTCGGTTGCTTTGAAAAACAAAGAATTTCTGGCAGATCTGATTTAATGCAAGTAATCTATATCTTCAGGAATTTAGATCTTCATTTGCTGAAATAAGGGAAACCCCAGCTGAAAAACTSTGGTCTTTGCTATTACCTCTCCAGGCTTTATCCAAAAGGCTGGAAAAAGACATTTGGAACAGGTAGGTCTGCTGTGCCTTTAGTCGAGCCTCTGGGAGACAAAGCAAGGAAACAAAGCAGCACCCAGTATCACACGGATGACTTTGAACTGCCCAGATGGAAAATCAGTCATTTGAAGGGATGAGTCCAAAGTCATTTGAGGCTTCACAGGGGAGAAATTCAAAAGCATAACTGGCAGATACTCATCTTATTGCAGGGGCTGCCCCTACTCGGTACCTTATTGCAACTGGTATTTCTGCACAGCTCCTCTTCCCCTCCTCAGACAGCCTGTCAGATCTCAGGGGGTTTCAGTCATGTTGTCCTGCCTATTCTAGCTGTTCTTCTTTCCTTTGTTGCTGAGCTTAAGGCTTGTTCAAGGTGAAGGTAGGAAGCTCGCTGATTATGTGGCCAAAGCCAAGCACACAGGTACAAAGGGAAGCAGCATAATGGTTAGAGAGGTGTTTTGTCTGTAATCTTATATTGCTCAGATAAAACTGCAAGTTAAATGAGATGTTCTTGAATGGATTTTTTCCCTAAAGAAATAGTTTTTTCAAGCAGCAGCACTGCATGTCAGAGGCAAATATAAACGCATTGTTAAATATTTTATATTTCTATGGAATAAACTCCATGGGTAATCATCTCTTCTCTGCTAGATGAAAAAGGTAACTTTTGAAAGCTTTAAGCCTTGCAGTCCAGAAGACATCCTCACCATATTATTTGATTTTACGGCAGCTGATATGGAGATAAACTGAGAGAAAGGACAGTATTTTTCATACAGAACCAATTCTATGGGAGCTAATTTTCAATTTAAGACTGCAGCAGCTTGAACTCCAAGCCATTTGCAGGAAACTGTAGCTTCTTAGCCTATGTTTCCAAATAACAGAAAAAGATTTMAAATTTGGCTGGTGAGATCAGTCTCCAGGCTTGGTTTACAAGCCAGACTCCATGGGCAAAGGCAGGTTTTCTTTCCTCTTTAATTTACAAGTGTTAGCCACAAAACTGCTCCCACAAGCAGGAAGAGCCAGAAGCTTTATACCACATTTTGGTGTTTATTTGGAACCTGCCTGACAGTTCCCTTTTTAAGGTAACAGATATGGAAGATGAGATAACTTTGGGTCACAACCTAAATAGTTGTCAGTATATGAAAAAAAAAAATTAAAAAAAAAAATTTTAAAAAAAGCAGTCATTAAACTTTTTCAGTTTTGAAATATTTACTGGCATGAGCAAGTACTTGCTCGAGCTGCTTGATCTACCTGGACTAACACTTTTATTAATTCAATAATTCTCTTCTTGTGACTAGAGGGCTGCCCTGGGACTCCCAGCCTTTCAACTATCTGGACCATCTGCCAACCTTAATAATTGCAAACACGGATCTGAAAGAAGGAATAATGCCTCAGTTTGAGGTTAAGGTTAGGGACGTTATACAATAAAAATGCTGGGCTTTAAATCTCTCTGTTGTGCTTGGCTTGTCAGAAAACATTATGTTGAATGAAAGATCCATTACAAGGATAATGGGGAACTTGAATCACTCTTATACACAGAGAGACCAGATTAATAAACATGTGGGGGTATGTATTTTTTTTCTTTCTTTCTTCCTTTTTTTTTTTTCTTTTAACCACATTTTTTAACCACATTCATGCCATCTAGATCATTTACTTTAAAAGTACAGTTTGCAATATCTGGGGAAAAAAAAAAAAAAAACTTGTACCAGGCAGTGTGCTATTTTTTGAGAGCAAGTCAGATGAATTCAAATTTGTCTAATCTCTACACTAACTAATTTCATTTCTACACATTCTTGCCAGCAGTGAAAGCCACTGTGCTACCTAATGCTCTTTTGATGCCAAAAAGAGCTGCGAAAGATAGAGGCCACAAATTTGTATTTAGTTGCCTATGAAGTAGCCAGATTTACAGAACGCAGAGTGGCAACCAGCTTTGGCCAAAGTCTGGGGAGACTGGTGCATCTGGGGAGATTTTTGGAAGCTGGGCTACTAAACTGGGGATTTATATCTGAATCTGCATTCACATATAAGAACAGTGCTAACTATTTCTTCTAAAAAGGTTAACTGCTTGATTAACAAATCTGCCCTGGCAGAAAACACACAGGTATGTGGCAAAAAGGAAACCAGAAACGTGCTGGMGCACTGAGACCATTGATCATGAGCCAGGTCTGGGTCCAGCCACTGCCAATGCCCAAAACAGACATCAGGAGCTAAAGCCCAACTACTAAACTCTTTGAAAAGTGGCCTCTGGAACAGATGTGGCATTTAGACAGGACKGGTACACAGCTCTCCTCTTCTATACTTGGCGTTGGCATTAATTGCCCAGGTACACATTCTCTAGTTAAACAAAGGTACGGAGTGAACTGAATATTTTAGAGTAATTTAAATTGACTTTCCTGAGAGACAAAATGTAGGGGGRAAAAAAAAGCTTCATTCCTCAGACTGAGGCTTACAATGCTGCAAATCTCTCTGGTCTGTAACACAGATGCTAGACTTAGAATTAATGGGAAACACCAATGAAATCTGAAAGGAAAAGTGATTTGAAAACTATCAGCAGGAACTCAAAACAGGAAAAAGCCACAAATCTAACCGAGCAACTAGCTGTGCTGCACAGCTGGTACAGCTTAACATACTTTACATTGCTGTGTCGGGCACTTGTATCTCCCTTAGAGCTCAAGGAGATGAAAGACAAATTCAAGAGGATGCAGCAAAGCTGTGTGAGAACATGAACTTTGTTTTACTGATGGTTTGCAAACTCTCCAGATCTGCTCTCCTGAGGGCGGCCCATGAATATTTTCACTTCCATTGGACAGTTTTACAACTAGATCCAACGGGCAGAGGTGAAATTGCACAGGGCAGCATCATGCACCACTCCAGTTCTTCATATCTTTGGGTTCCCTTCCCTTTAATACATGTTTTCATATACAAGGTATGTTCTGTCTTACGTATTATACCAGTGCCCGATCTGTATCAGCCCTCTTGAGTTATTAATTCTGCAGTGCCAAATAATTCTGGGAGAAAAAAATTAAAAAAGGCTTTTAGCATGGCCCAGCCTGGTTAAAAGAGCAGCACATTTCATTGGGGTTGGACTAGATGATCTCTAGAGGTCCCTTCCAACCTTAGCCATTCTGTGATTCTGTGAATTATCTGGTGACTTCCGTGGCCAAGACGGTCAAACCAGTAGCTGCAGCTGAGCCGCGATCCATCGGCACAATCCCAGCGGCGGGGCTCCGGGCGGCAGGAAGTTGAGCAGAGCAAGGGCCAGGCTGGAAGGGCCTTGAGTGCCGGCCAGCGCAGGGCACCTTGCGGGAAGCACTCACCAGGAAGGGGATGCAAAGGCATCCTCTGGCTTCCCTGAGTCCATCCAGGCCTCTGCTGGATTTAATTACTTAACATAGTTTTGTCACCAGCTGAAACACACCTTTTCTTTCAAATCTTCCCCCTTGGGATGGTTGCGATTCCTGGATGATGTTAAAACAATTTATCATAGTAAAGGAGAGGAATAATCAAAGCAAACTGATGTCTCCTTGCAGGCAGCTCTCCATGCTTCTGTCTGGGAAAGTGCAGGAGGAGAAGGTTCTTTATACAACTGTTGTGACTGTCTCCTTCTGGCAGATGGAGGCCACACTGATCAGGTGAGTTTGGTCAGGGCTTGGGGACAACCAGATGTCATCTATGGCCAGTGCTAAGTAATTAATTGAAGATTAAATTAAAAGGTTACGTTAACATTTATTCCAAGGAGATACATGCCTCCATGCTTGTATGGTTCATGGGCACCTTTCTAACCAACAAAGAAACCCTGTAAGTGCAGAATAATGGGAGGTTGTTCCTGTGAAGCTCAAAGGAGGCTTAAAAGTGGCCTAGCTAAGAACAGTTGTGTTCAGTTGAGAACTGTGGCTCAGTGCTTTGCTGTCTCACAAACTGATGAGTGAATCTCAAAACATCTCCCAGACTGAGTGATATAAGCTGTTCATGCCCCTGGAGCCTCCAATAAGCTTACATGACAGAACTGCTGAGACTGAGGAAATGGCAAACACTCTTCCGAATGTCTAACTGAAGAGGTGCAAGAAGTGATCACCTACATGTCACTGCTCCAGTACTGCACGGGAAGCGACTGTATGCAAAGCAGAGGGCAACCAAAGGCTCATCCTTACCCTGACTGCAAAGTTCAATAGCTGAACCTAAATCACTGCTTGAGTGGTACTCAGGTTAACCTACATTGTAGCAGACTGGTAAACAGCAGCTCACCTAGTACAGAATATGAAATGTGAGTGTGGTAATGTCGCTTAGGGCAGTCACAACAGCTAAGGGAAACAAAGTCTTAAACACTTCATTTAGGTCTGCTGGAGGATATGTGGCCATGCCTTAGCTTTCTAATAGGGTAGGAAAGTGGTGAGATGTTATTCAGATTCATCTCACTCTGTAGTCGGCATTTGTCTGTGCATGGTCTCTTTATTTAACCCSTAAATACAATCTCTTTGTATTTTCTATTTTTTTGTATTTTACACAAATTTGTTTATTCATCCATTCTGGAGAGTATACAACCTGCTTTCTCTTTATTGGCTGCTTTAAAATTATTAATAGCATTTGATAAAATGTTTACATTGACAAGTATTATGCCAATAATTCTTACATCCACATCTTACTCYACAGTTGCACTAGCATCAAGCAACCAACTTGGTTTGAGCCAGCCCTGTCCTTCAGTGACTGAGGGCATGAATCCCAGAGCATTATTTTTAACTCTTGAGAATTGACTCTTACCTCTTTTCAGACCTTCCTCTTTCATCTGCTTCAAAGGYGACGGGCCAAACTCCTCCTCCACAGGCCGGAACATCCTTTTGACCAGGACACTGCTCCTAGAAAGCACACCACACAAACCATGTCAGGGCAAAGCCGCCTCCTGACAGCACAGGAGACATCAGCAACAGAGAAGACTCACTCTGTACTCCAGCAAAAACCCCACCCGCTATTCAAGTAACAACAGACCCGAAGCCGCAAGGATTTGACTCTTGAGGCTTATCCAAGAACTCTCCACGTTTCTCAAATTGCCCAGACTGACCGACTGGGACAGGTGACAGGAAAACCCACGCCTACGTTGCATATGAGTAGGAAAACTCAAMGGCCTGTAACTCCTTTAATGTTCATAAGGACAGAGGGAGACAAAGAAGGAAAAGCAATAACAGCTAAGCGAGGAGGTGAAGCCACATCTCAACATGGATTCGCCCTCACCGCCCTGGGTCAAGGAGGCAGCCTCAGGAAATGCTGACAGGGTTTTGGGAACAGCCAAGGCCTTGCAAGCCCRCGAGTTCAGAAGGGGCAGCAACGGGGGCCAAGACCAGCTGGGCCCTGGGACCCGCAGTGCCAGGGAGCTGCTGTCCCCAGGCTGCTGCCACCGCAGCCCCGTGGCACCTCCCTGCCCCGCGTCACCACGGAGCAGTCACACACACAGATATATCCCTATGTACGTATAGACACATGCATACGCACGTGGGCTACTGAACAGCTTCCAAATTTCACTGCTTTACGCAACAGTTCCGGGCAGATTATTTTTGAACTGATTTGCCAATCTTTATATAAAAATGGCTTTATTATCAAATACATTGTCCTGTCCCTGTACTGAGCCATTTTACTTGGAAATGTACAAACAAAAAGAGATTATAAAAAGCCAGTTTGCATGCAGGAAAAAAAAAAAAGAAAAAATCAAGAAGAAGAAGAATTTTAAATTTTAAATTTAAATTTAACATAAAAGAAACTTCTACCAGTCCTACATGCTATGCAGCTACATAGAAGAATATAAAGGGAGAGGGAGAAAGTAATCAATTTTATTTTGGAGTTTTGAGTCTGTTTTCTACGGTTTTGGACTGCTAACTGTGAAATTTGTTCAACAATAAATGTCTTACCCTTCTCTCTCATCATCTGTATTATAGTAAACCTGGAAAAGTGGAAAAAATAAATTATTCCCAGAGCTCAGACACCTGCTGAGCAGGGTAACTTCAAAAGGGAGAAAAGACAACAACAGGTTTGCATCATCTATTTGTCTATTAATAACCCCTTTCCTTCTATAAAGTAAAACATCCATATTTCTAATGGTGATCTGGAGAAACTGCACCTTAGAAAAACTGCTGTTGAATATTGTCTAATGGAAACACTTCAAAGCATTTTGACAGACAGTGTCCTCTCCTCTGGTTTATAGCATTTTTTCAATTATTTCACAATCCTATAAACCAGATCACTTTTCACCTAAATTACTCTTAATATGACTTAAGCCACAACACTCTCAAGCTTTTATGTGTATTTAATGCTGTCTGAAAAACCTAATTAAACCAGAAAGGCCAATATTAAACTACAAGCCTAATGGAAATCCAATTACTAATAGCACAGATGATATGTATCTATTTTGCACATGCTGTGGATAGCTAGATGTGTAAGTCCAGGTCCTTGTTCAGTTTAAATCAGCATAATTCACATTCACTGAGACCAAACTTACAACAGCAGCAAATGTGGCTAATATTTGCAGCAGAGGTATAAAGCCACAGGCCAACGTGAAAAGCTTTATAAAATAGCCTGTCAAATCCCCCCATAATATGTCATGGACATGGACAAATTTCCAGACTCATGCTGGCAAAATTCAGAGCAAAATTCAATGAATTTGTCATTCATTGGGACCCTCAATGTAAGCAGGGTCCCAGAGAGGCCTTTAAACTCTGAACCTACACGAGGAAAATAGTTCAGAGGTGTCTTTGCAAATCTGAGCTCTACAATTCAAGTCCAAGCCCCGAAAGTAGCTGCAGAACACTGACATAATATAACATTTTTCTACTAGAAAATACCAGACACAATTGAAAAGTTCAGGGTAACACAAATGTTGATATTGCAACCTATATAGAATTAAAAGTCAGGAATGAGCATGGCCTAAGAGCTAAGAGCAAAACAGTTATTTTCCAGTTAGTTTAGAAAATTATTTACAGGATTCCATGCATTAGGATATGCTTCCACCTTCCTCTGTTTTGAGACAAATCCACATTCTGTTTTGAAAGTCATGAGGACAGAAGGTACCCAGCCCTGATTTGTGAGTGGGAGTCYTTCCAATTTTGGAGAATAAGTCAGTGACAGCTGTGACTGCAACGTCTGCGGTCTTTCTGCTTTGCTCTACCACAATGCTTTAAAATAATGACAATTCAAACGTGGTATCACTTCTTCTTCATTACTTTTTATATTTTACAGGAAGCTGCCTATAAAATTTGATCATCCATAACCTGTCTTTATAAACATACACACAAATATCTCACTCTGCTCCCTGAGAGCACAATGAATTGCAAGTTCATATATAAACAAAATGTCAGAACTGATGCTAAATTCAGGTCTGCAGTTTGCCCACAGGCAATAAAACAGGTCTTCAAAGTCAAGTCAGCAAAGACTTTGTCAGTGGTGATAATGACTCCAAGACTTCAGCAATATGTCACTACCGACCATTAAAAATGGCGTAGTAGATTTTTATTTCCTCTACTGTGTTTTGGAGTCCACATATATTCTCAGATCTCTAGATGATGCCTACCGAAATATGCAGCAGTGTTTACATTTATAATGAGCTACATCTCATTATACGTTTAAGACTGCTCCTTGTTTGCAACCACCACAGGGAGGAGGACCTCTTCTACCACAAGGTGGCACTTTATTTCGTCAAGTCAACTAGTATTTTCAAATAAAAAGTTTTTCTGTCAGGCACAAATCAATCTTCTGTTTCCAAAATCCTGATTATTTGTTCCACTCTTTCTTCTTAGMGGAACAATGACAAAACCAGAACAAAACACAATGCAGTCCATTATTAATGAGTTATAAATCCCTTTTTCATTCCTAGAACTAGGAAAGGCATTTGTTTATTGAGTCTTTGCTAAGTGTCTTTGTGCACTCAGTGCCAGGCTAGTCCGGAACCACTCTTACCAAACTGATAGCCGAAATAGTCACCATGGACAGGGCTTTCTTTGGGTAAAACATGACGCAAAACCTGCACCCGAGTTACAGTTGGACACCTGCTCATCTCATTCTTTCTGCTTCCTACCTGTCCAGTTCTTTGCAGGTTGCCAAAATGAACATCTGGAATGAAAAGAACTGGCTGGGAATCCAGGTCAGCCATCGTTTTGAAGAAGGTGATATCGCTCTTTTTTTGCAGAGGGAGAGCACTCAGCTTCCCTTCAGCTGTTGGGAAGATCACAAAGTTATTCAGTTATGACACGAGGCATATTTAACCCAAACTAAGCCCAGGCAAGAAGGGCTTGTCTTACTCACAGTTACTACACGGGGCCTGCGATGCCTGGCCTTTGCCTTTCTTCCTGTTTTGCTTCCTCTCTTCATCCCGGATTTTCCTTTCTGCTCCCTGATGCAAAACAAAACACAAGGCACAGGTATTACCCTACAAGGAACCCATGTGAGCTTTGGCCCATGCAGTACCTGGAACTGTAGCACCAGGCCCGCTGGAAACACCAAAACACGGGCGAGCCCCATAGCCTGCAACCCGCCAAGGAAGCAGCTCCGGCGCTCCCCACATTACGTGCTGAGGGGCGCCCCTGTGGCAGGCTACGCTCTTAGCTCAAGCCTATGCTAAGCTCTTCCTAAACTCTCCTCCACCCACCTGCTTTTGGGGTGGGACTGCCCTGCAGCAGCCGCCTTTGCAAAGGCCTTTGAGATCTTCCACTGCCAGAAGGCTACAGTAACTTGCCAGTAACGCGGGGGCTCCTACAGGAACAGGCATTTCAAACAGGGAGAAGTCCTCGAGAAACTTGAAAGAAACTTGAAACACTGCCCCATTAGACCCCAGGAACTCCTGGGAAGTTGCAAGCTTCTGTTATGTAAATATAGGCCAACAAGTTTAGAAAATAAAACTTGTTACTGACATAAAAAGCAGCAACACCTCCTTTGAAGCTCTWATTTACTTTTAAAATATGAATATAATAATATAATACACTTGTGAAGGGTATTAAGGATTCATATGTTCACGGACAGCAATTAAAAATTAAATTTTTTTTCCAACTTAAATTTAGAAATTTCTTTAAAAGAAAATGGGAAGGGGGGAAGCAAAGTCAGAAATATTAATTTAAGTGAGCAAAGCTCACCTATGAGTGAAATAAAATACAAGAAAAGATGGACTCCTGGTTGTGACCTGTCAATGGCTTTCCAGAGGGTGAAACAGGTGGAGGAAAAAGCCTCTCTTTAAAGAGCTGCCCACTAGGAACCAGGTGCCCAGTAGAAACATGGCCTTGGCAAGCCAGTTCGCACTGGCCTCAGCCCCAGAAGGTGCCCGAGTTCCGTAAGATTCGGTTATGTCCTTRAGTGCCCAAACTGACACTTGTATGGACTCCTCTCTACTTCTAAACGCCCCCTGTTCTTCGACAGGCGAGGAAGAGCTCTGCCCCACTGCTCGGCCATGGAGGCAGCGTGTGTGGGAGCACCGTGCCGCACAGCGGCGTCCTTCCTTGCTGAGAGGGCCTCGGCCTCCTGCCTGTGACACACASGGTACCTTTGGCTGCCTTCCTTCGATACTCTCTGTTACAAGGAGCCTGGGAAGGTCCCGCAGCGTTGTCGCCTGGCACTCGAGATCACCAAGTCACTGGGGACACAGGCAGGGCCCTCACACTGACAGAGCTGCCCCTACAGCTCCACCACCCACCAGCCATGAACAAAACCCAGTCTAAGAACTTCAGCTGACTCAAGATACGCCGTTTCTGCGGGGCTGCTACGCGTCTGGGGTTCTGTCCTGCAAGGTGTGAAGCAGTTTAGCTCCAGCCCAGCCAAGTCCTTACCCCAGTAAGGACCACCATGGCTATGAAGTCCATGCGTATGCCTTTTTCTAGATCAAGCCCAAAGTATTTCACATTTGATAAGACAGGCCTACGGACTTCAGGTTTCTTCTCTCTAAAGCTGAAGACTGGTAGGCAATTAAATATGCTCTGCATCCTATAATAATCTGTTTTCACTATTACTATCCATATTGAAGACTAGCTCAGTTCAGGAACTGCAGGTCAGGAACTGCACATATTCAAAATAACAAGTAGTTTTCCCTGAGAAAAGAAAAGAGGATTAATTTGGAAGAACAATGTCATGGTATTTGCCAAGTCAAATGCTGCTGCTTCTTTCCAGCAAAGCTGATCACATACATAAAATGAAAATGTCTCCAAGCCACCAGTTCTTCCATACTCAGTGTTTAAAGTATTTTGAACATATAAATAGACCTGGTAGCAAGTTTCCCTGACAACCTACATAAGGAATAAAAATAATATTCTCTTATGATAAAACAGCATGAGTGATCCACACATGATAAGAAGACTACAAGGGCAGAGATAATCAGCACTGAGAAAACAAGATGAGCACCACAACGGTTGATCTGAAGACTGTCTACTGGAGAAGAAATATGGACCAAAGTTTGGAGAATGAATCAGCAGCAAACTAGCAATTACAACCTTTGCAGCCTTTGCCTCCATTCACTCATGTTGCATAAAGCACGTTTCATCTGAGCCTGGGATGCTCTCTAATTTATATGCAAAAGAATAGTAAATTTAAGTAACTGCCTGAACAGATACTGACAAAACTGCTAAATC